GCAAGCTGCAGCACTTGCAGGTTTAATTTCGAGTGCCTGCTTACCCAGGGCAGTGGATGGCAGGGAGGAAGGAGTACGAGGCGTTGCGACAGACGACAGACTCTTGCCCTTTCCTTCTTCGATCACACAGTCGAGACAAACTGGTGATGCTGGGAGCACATTCTCCTGTCACTGGCCACTGGCGCCAGAATAATGCACCTTTCATCTCCGTCCAGGGTAAAGCGCTATTGTTTCCCATACTTTATGAAACCTCATGGCTTTGACCTGCAGGGCAAACCTCTTCCTCTGTTTTTATTTTTCTGGGGGCTCAGGGCGACTGATTATCACAGATCACAGCAAACCTAAAGCGAAATAGGTGCTTTCTCAGACACAAACCATAAAGTGCTGCTGACGGGAGCTCTCGGGGATGCTGAAGGATAGGGCAGAACCAGTCGTTGTTCCTTGTTATTTCTGAGGAAATTCTGTTACTCGGTTGTTGAGGACCTCTAAAAAAAAAAGGATCTGACCAACAGATGAAAGTAATTCAGAAAGTCCAGTAACCATCCTCTGTGTGGGTATCACCAGGCCCAGACTGAGATGCAGGATAGCAAGTCCCAGCAAACTGGTGGTGCCTGAGTTGTTGAAGTGCCTCGTGTGTAGAGCTTCCAGGCTAGTTTGGGCATCGTTCATAGTAGCTGAGTTCTCAGGCTCTTGACACAGATCACATTCATCCTTTCCCTCAGCCCTTGTGAAAAGACTGGTGCTGGCTTTCCTTGCTTCTCTCTCCTTTGCATTCCTCTCTGCCCCCTTTCCCCTCCAACCACAGTAACAAAGAGGTTGTGAGGAGCAAGACTGTTCTGTCAGTCTTCCTCTATCTCCTTATAATGGAGATTTCTGTGATTTGATCTTCATACAATAATAGAGCTTCGAAGGAACCTCTGGTCCGGTGCTCCAAGAACCTGCTCAAAACTTAAAAGATCTACGAAACTGAGTGCTGAGCTGCTGTTTTGACTTTGCAGGACCTTTTTTTAAAAAAAAAAACTTTGAAAGTCAGGCTTATCGTGTCTGCCCGTGTGTTCAGGGGGAGTAAAAGCCACCAGCCTATACACTAGTCATTTTGTTAAACTTTATAAAGTGATCTCCTACACTGCAGCAAGTGGAACAAATGTTCTTATCCATTACAGACTGAAATTTATGCAGAGCAAAGGAATCCTGAAGTACTGCAGGACTGATACTGCTGTAAAAAAAAGCAAATTCAGAGCCCTGGGAAAAATTGCATGCTTATTTCTCAGAGGCCAAGAGAAGAAGAGTTGGTTGATACCTTTGTGGGTGATCATTAAGTGCCCGCTGTTCATGTAGTTTACAGCGTCACATGTGTTTTTAAAGAAATAGCTGTACTCTCTAGCACTTTCAGATTGACCTGGGCTGAGGTGTGAATTTGCAGGTCCACAGCTGCAGCTCCTCAGGAGCTTGCTAAAACCCCCACAGCATCCTCAGAGAGGTACTTCCAAATACCACCTACTGCTCCCCAGGGACATCCTGCGTGCTGGGGGAAATGCACAAGGGGAAAAAGATCTCTCTGGCAGTAATACTGTCTGCATTTTTATAGGGAGGAGGTTAATGTGCCTGCTGGGAACCTAACATTAATTGAATTCGTGATTAAAACTAGCCAGAACTCATTACTCTTTGCGTAGTGCGTTTGCTGTTGGAATACTTAAGTTATCTTAAATAGTCTTGACCCAAGTCATGCTGGAGTAAATGAGTGGAAACCCCAAATTCGGAATATCCAGGTGTACCGCAGGTTGTCCTACCTGCGCTCGATGGGATATACCCTGTCTGGGAAGAGCAAATGGGCTTTAATTCCTCGTCGGTGCAGCTTTGCTGACCACAGCGGCCGTGGGTTCCGCAGGGAAGCGGGGCTGCAGGTTTCCTGACCCCGCCATCTGTGGAGAGACTTCTGTCCTGCAACCTCACCCCTGCCCAGGGGCACTGTGCAAAGTCCTGTTATTCCTTTTCATAGAGCAGCTTCTCGGCAGGGGTTTGCTCACCACATAAAGGCACTGATGGTGCCCTGCAGCCGTGGGTGCCTGTGGAGACCGTACGTGAAGCCCAGTGTTGCTGAATGTGATGAAAACCAAACCATAAATATTCCCTTGCTCAGTGTTCCCTGTAGCCTTTTCTCTCCTCCCAGTGTTCTGGGGCGAGTGGGGAAAACGTCCCAGGAAAATAAACCTGCGCTTATACCAACTTTTCAGAAATTTTTTTAGGGTGACTGAGGTCTGCCTGGGAGGGATGGGAGGGCATCCAGCCAAGGTATTAGGATTAAATGCAACTTTTTGAAAGAGGAGGGTCTGAGCTGTCCCAGCCGGAGCTTATTCCCCTTACATTGCAAAGGTACTAACAAATTAAATGAAACCAAAGGTGTTAGCTGCTAGTAATAGTGTCTTTAGCTTCATTTAATTTGAGACCAGAAGCAGAAAGGAAAATAACACTTAGGGAAGCCAGTAGGTTTTCCCTCCTGTGGTGGCCTCACTTCAGAGTTACAGTTGTCAGATGTCCTATCTATTAAGACATCTTGTTTATTGTATGTTACATCTTAATATCTCTTTTAAACATAATATTCTAGACTGGTAATGAGAGCTTTTGGGGGCAATTTATATTAACACCGGAGCCTCTTGCCTCAGATGAGAGTTGTGTTCTCCACCGTAACTCTGTGCTGATGTAGATTTCTGTCTGAGAACTTCCTTTTAAAGCACTAAAAACGATGGGACACGACAACTAAAAACGTTGACCTCTTTCAACCCAACATCCCTGCTTCTAATTGTTGGAAGGCGTGTAAAAGTAATCTGTTGGAATGTGTAGCAGCGTTTTGGCATTTTCCTTCACTCTGCTATAAATCAAATCAAGGCACACACTAAGTTTTCCTCACAGTAAAAAGCCATAGTTAGGACTAATGCTTTGTTTATTTTTTAAAGTCTCCTTCAGCTGTGACTAAAAAAATGAACACCCAGCCCCTCCGGACAAAACTGCCCTCTCTCAGGGTGGCTGCC